GGTATACGATAGGTAAATTATAAATCGAAATTGCATTATATAATCGAGTATATCAGTTATAGAATTTGATACAATCTTTTTTCTTTTTTTTGTTTATGTTTCCCAAAGAATATCTTTAGTGCCTCAACTGAAGATTTTCCTCTTTATGAACAATAACGGTATTTTGTCTGAGGAATGGATCTTAGTGTTCAAATCAACGCACGGGAATATCTCAAAATTTAGTATACATAACCCTATTCCCCAACCCCATCAGAAAGAATATTGATACTCAATATTCAGAAAAAAAACGTATCATTCTGCTGTCCTGTCTTAAACAGCGTTGAAGCAAATGATTAAAAAAGCAGGTCTGAAATCAGACCACGAAATTTAGAATCTCTGACTCAATCCTTTTCTTTTCTTTTTAAAATTAGTGAAATAGTTACGCGTTCCTTATCCGCATTTCAACTTTCACTTTCTCATTGTAACAACAAACAACAATGGCGTCACCTCAATCTTGAAATTCCAAGAATAATTTACGAAGATAAAGTTAACAAAGATGTCGGACGATTCATCAACCAGTTAACTGACAATTTAACACGTCATCCATCCAAGCTGAACAAGCTAATAATATTTGTTGGTCACCTGGCAACACTTGGAAGCCACGCCTTTTGTTTCAGGTGCGACACTCACCTGTGACAGTAAATTAAAACACGTCAAAAGTACGAATATATTTTGACAGACGCCGATATAGTTATTAACGAAAGATGATATATCATGAAGTTGCCGTAATTCTATCTTTTTTTTTTTTTGCTGGATTAGCCAAACTGGTTTTGTTAATCACTGCCTATCGTAGACTACAATGATTTATTCACAGTCAACCTGACATTTTGCACACATACAGGTGTATGTGTGAGGGAAAGGGAATTTTTGTTTTCAGTAAACGGTCTTTAGTTTTCCTTTGCTGACTTTACTCCCAAACCATATCAATTTTGAACTCAAGCAATATTAAATAAATTATATAATACAAGAAACTTCAATTCAGATTACAAAAAGTAAAGAAATCTTTAGCTCTTTTTATTAAAATATCAATAACACCAATTAAATTTGCATTTTCTTCAGTGGCTGCCAAAACTGTTATATAGACTGTTGTCTTCATCAAAACATTAAAGCCGAAAATTTTTTTATCACTTTCATTTGCGCGTTATGCCCAGAAGGATTTAAATGTCTCCAGCGGGTTTTCCATTTCCTCTTACTTTCCTGAACGGGACATACTAGAATCCCCAAAAGTCACGGTACGCGATATTAAATGCTCATGTTTATAATACCAAGTTGATAACAGACAAAAGTAGAAATGCTTTGTCTGTTCTTTTCTGACTTTTTAAAACTTTTTGTGGCCAACTTTAACAAGTTTATAATGACGTAACGTTATTTTTTCTCGTCCAAAAATGAAAACAAAAGGTATTAAATGATATGTAAAGATCACTGTATGTAACCCCCACACACACACGTGTGTGTGTGTGTCTGTGTGTGTGTGTGTTTCCTCCTTGCATTGAACATTGCTGTCACATCTGGTCTGATGCTTCAACTATGTATTTAGACATTCTTGACAAAATCCAAAGAAGAATCAGTAATGTAATTGGTCCTGACCTGGCATTTCAGCTTCAGTCACTTTCCCACTGCCGTAACATAATTTCCTTCTGTCTTTTCTATAAATATTTTCAATGCTAATTTTTCTGATGAGTTTTCCTTTTTGGTACCTAGAATTTATAAATTTAGGCGCAGAACTAGATTGATAGCCAGGTTTCATTGTTTTGGGGGTTTTTTTCAGTTTAAATGAATAGATATAACCATAAGTTCTCTGCTAACAATTTCTTCTCTCGCACTTCTCGCTTGTGGAATTCTTTTCCGTCTTCTTGCTTTCCAATTAATTTTGATCTTCAAACACAATGTCAGTCGTTATCTTATGTGTTCTTAATTCGTGTTCTTTTATTGTTCTCTCTGCTTAATGTTTCCTTTTTCTCATATTTTCTCATACTCAGTAACCCCTCAGTTTTGTTAACACGGTACATTACATGTTAATTAGAAGTTATATCAAAGTTTTCACTATGTTATTTACGGAAATAGTGGCAGCACACAGATAAATAGATAGATAGATAGATAGATAGATAGATAGATAGATAGATAGATAGATAGATCATTGTATGTATTGAATAAAAAGGCAAAAGTAGAAGAGCAAAACATAAGTTTCGACGTAATTTTTAATCCTGTGGATCAAAGTGTTAGGTGTAAATTAGGTCTATCTAAGAATATCCTTTGCATGCAAATATTGTCCGTGTAGTGGCTGAAGCCGTTTTATTAAACAAAGATATATGATTTCTAGATTGTGCCCACTATTGATTTTTCAAGTAACATTAAATTTTGTTGAATCAAATTATATGGTCTGTAAATTGCATAACATTTGTCTTCCTTGGTTTTATTGTTTTCTTTTAGAAGTTTCTAAAACTGAAGTTATTTCATTAATAAATACAACATTATCAGAAAAATTAAACAAAAATATTAGAAAATAGGGCTGTAACTATACAAGCAAGAATATTTTACAAACCGGGGTTGACAACTATACGAATGAAAGCCCGTAGGTAAAAAAATAATTAGTGTTAATGTTAACAATATTTACATTTTTCCCACAGTTATATTCGTTCAAATCCTTTTGGAATTTATTACGGCAAAAATTACGGGTGCTACTTGAGCGTTTATAGTAATTACCATCATTAAATAATATAGTAATAATGTTATATAATAGAACTTATTGATATAAAATTTGTACGAGGGTTGGCTGAAAAATTCATAGGTTAAGATACCCTCATGGAATGTGATCAAATGAGGTTTATTTTTCGAAATAGTCCACCTTGAGGTCCACATAGTTCTTCCATCGGCGTTGAAGTGTTTGGATATCATTGGTGAAGAAGCTTTCATACTGTTAGTAAAAAAAGTCATCAACAGCAGATATGACGGCATCATCACCGTGATACCAAGTTTTTTCATATCGAGGAACAAATGATAGTCAAATGGGGCCAAATCAGGAGAATAGGGTGAGTGATCAACCAGTTTGGAGCCATTAAAATCAAGAAATTGTTTGCAGGAGCATTGTCTTGATCAAACAAAACCCCTTTCATCAGTTATACTTTGGTCTTGATAGCCTTTCGTAACTGCCTGAGTAGGTTGGCATAGTACCCGCCATTGATAGTGTAGCTCTTTTGGAATATTCAATAAGCACAATGCCTTTTGCATACCCCAAAAAATGAGGACATCACTTTCCCTACAGAAGAAACGACCTTAGGTTTCTTTGGAGCAGGTGAAGAGGAATGTTTCCACTTTATGGATTATCTTTTTGTCTTTGGATCAAAGTGATGAACCCAGCGCCCATCCTGGGTTAGGAAATTTTCAAGAAAACCAGGTGGATCTGCCTCAAACAATGTCAGATTTTCCTTTAATGTGATCTGTCTGGCACAAGTGTCATAAAAAGTTCATTGTGCAGAATATTCTTAACTCTCTCACGGGATATTCTAATAGCATTGGCTATTTGATTTATTGTCATCCATCACCATGTACTGAACACGATCAGTTTTCCTCGAACCATGTCCGAACCATGGATCATCTTCAAGAATCTCCTTTCCTCCCCTAAATTCAGTTGCCCGCATTTGCACTATTGATAAAGCTGAGGCGCATTCCCTAATATAGCAACAATGTCAGGATGAATGTTCTTGGGGGCTAAACCGTTTTTCTGCAGGTATTTGATAACACCACGATGCCAAATTTTGTCCATTTTCAAGAGAAGTCGCTATTGGTTACTTTTTAAAGTTTTCTTTGAACAGTCCGATATCACTTTACCTGGAAATAATCAATGCAGTTATTAAAAAGAAGAAAGAAATTAATGCATACAAGATTTCAAAGCTTTAGCATTACTCCTTCATTATGAACTTTCAAGTACACCCTCGTAATAATGGCAAAAATTCATTTTATGATTTCAGAAAATCTAAGAACGTGTTTTGCTTAGTTGCTTTCATTGTTTTTATAGTACAAACAATTACTGAATATGGAAGAAGTCAGTATATAAGTGTTGTGCAAGATCTTTCAACATTCGATAATAAAAATTAAAACAATGCAGAAATAAACACACTCACACTGAAATAAATATTCTATGTTAGATTTTATTATGCAAGTCAATGTTTTCACAATAAAATTGGTAATAATCAATTAATGTTGGGAGAATTTTCTATAACTATTTATATTAAATATTAATCTGTTTCCACTGGACATAAAGCGGGTGATTGGTTTTCTATCGTTATTAACTTGTAAACTATTCCATTATAGAATTATTATATCGAATTTTATTACAATGAAATTGGTATAAACCAAGAATTGTTTAAGATATGATTAAAATTACATATGAATTTCAGCATCTATTTAAAAAAAAAAAAAAAAAAAACCACTTACAATAACTTATTTGGTAGTGTAAGATTTGGTGGTACAACTTAAGTGCGTCAGTTGTTCACTTCTAAACCGACTGCTCGGTTGAACTCTCTTCCTACGGACGGGAGGAACCCGAAGGAGGCTACGCCGAAGGGCGGAATCTTCTTCGGGGAGGTAAAACTGGCCCTGAACCCGTTTATACGGGTTCAATGGGCATATTTTTGGAATGCCCACATTCAAAAGGCCTTGTGCCACATGACACCCTCGTGGGGGGGTGACTCAATATCGTGGTACAACTTAAGGGTTTTTCATAATTATACATACATATATACATACATTACATTTTTTACGGCTTATCAACCTTTCGCAAGTTATTTAAATCTAGAAAATATTTTCGGATTGGAAGAATTTTTGAAAAATATGCCCATTGAACCCGTATAGATTACTACTTTTCCAAAGCGTAAGTCTATATAACGAACTTGGCTGGAATTAGGACTCGGCTCACTGATTTCAAATTGAGTAATTATCGTTACACTACACGCGCATCCAAGCATACACCACCTGGTATTCTCAAGTTTTCACCCATCTAGGTACTAACTAAACTCGACGTTGCTTAACTTCAGTGATTGTACGAGAACTGATGTTTCAGCGCGATATGGCCGTAAGCAAAGAAGGTATTTGAAGAAACTAGTGTTGCGAATGTAAACAGGGAAAAGGGTTCCAAATATTAAGAACTCTGGTTAAAGACATGAAAGCAAGCAAAGCAACGTTTGAGTAAACGTCACAAGGAGACGAGTGTTGAATTGGGTGCTAAAGTTGAAACAGTGGGAAGATGCTGTGTAGTAAAATGGATTCTTCTCTTACCGGTGTCTGTAAGCCGTGGAGATAGTGCGATTTGTTAGGTGGAAAACCTACTGCGTCATGAAAAACACCTATGTAAATAAAAACTTTTAACACACATATGCACTGTGTTCTTTTTACTAAAATATTCCCATTACAAATTGTAACAAAAAGTTAACAAAGTGTTTGAAAAAGTAATAAAGATAATGTCAATAACAATTTATATTGTACAGTATTTGCGTAATAAAACCTGACAGTTTCCAAAGAGTTTATCGGTATTTTTCAAAAAAGATATTGACATTATCAGCTGTTCATATAATTATAAGTATAGCCTGAAAATTTAAAAAATCTTGATTATTTCATACCAGTCCGATTGCGAGAAAATATTTTGCATGAGAAAATCTAACAGTATCTATATATCTTCAACATAATCACCTTGTCAGTATCTCGGATCCATTGAACAAACATTATACAATGAAAATGTCAGATATAAATTCAACTAATAATTGTGTCAAACGGTAGACTTATTGATGCATCATATATATATATATATATATATAGATAGATAGATAGATAGATAGATAGATAGATAGATAGATGTATTAGTGAATATACATAATATCCAACGTCAATAGCACGACTCAGTTTCATGCAGTTGCTGCAATCTTCAGGTGCAAATACAATCTGACCGTTAATTCGCGTTCTTGTGGTGATGATTCAAACTTTTTTTTTAAAACTTGTTTATTTAATTATTGCTGCATAAAGTATTAGAATTAACTAATAATTTATATCATTTAAATACATTACTTTGAATGACGAAGAAATAAAATTTTTTCTTTTTTTTTTAATTATTTGAATTTACATTTGGATTCAAAGGTAAACAAAATATCAAGGGGGTAACTTTCATTTTTTGACAAAAATATCATAGCAATATCAAATAACAATATCATAATAAACATATAACATACTAATGTCAAATAAAAAAATTAATACTCGGGGTGGAAATATAATGTAAGTGTGCAAATAAAAATGAAAAAGAATAGGTTAGCGATATCTAACTAATGTGTTTGGAGCCAAGCTTTGTACTTATAAGGTGAAATTATATAAACACACCTTATAAATAAATAAATAGAGTACAGTAATATTAGATTATATATATATAAGAAATTTTATTGATGATGGGTTCTAAGAATATTAAAAGTTATTGCAAATTATAATATTCGTGTAATCTATTTTGCAATCTCATTTAATCGGGGTTGATGAGTTTTAGCAGGTGCTTGTATTTATGGAAACATGTAGATGTTAATTCGAACCTCGTGTTCAACATGTTAGGGTTATTAATAAAAAAATCTGATCAGAACAGTTGCTATGAAAATATTTGTAAAAAAGCAGAGGAATGCCACGTCACGACGATGAGAAAGTGACTGAAGTCGAGATGCTTGTTCAGGATCTATTATCTTTAACAGATCCTTCTTTGAATTCTGACAAGAATCTTGAGATGTACAGCAGGAGTGCCAGGCCAGATATGGCAATAGTATTCAACGTTCGATCGAATGGTAAATATGTAAATATGCAAAATGGATTCTGACGAGAAAAAAATTTCTAGCATGATACTGTGAACCAAGTTTCCTTGCAGTAGACTCAGCAATTGATTCCATATAGTCACTCCACTTCATGTCAGTTGAAAACTTGAGGCCAAGAAGGAGTAGAGTGTTGCGCTCCTGGATTTTAGCATCGGTCATGCTGATAGCTGGCAAAAAGGGTCTTTGTGGTGAAAGCAGTTTTATCACTGATTGGAGGTTCTTTTCAAGAATAGTTACCACTTTGTCGGGCCTACAGATTTGCTACTCAGACAGGAGTAAATGGTTATCTCATCTGCATAAATACCGACTTTGCAAATGATGACACCGAGGATGTAGTTATATGTAAATTATATACGATATAAAAGGCAGTATCGCTATACCTACGAGTGAGTTACCTTCTTTTGATGAGACTACATCTATCAGAGAGAATACCTATCATAACAATATGGCGTCACTGATCGGCTACTTAACCACGATGCAAGATCCTGAATATGTGGAAACCTGGCTTAGGTGTTTCGCAGCACCGGTGAGAGTAAAAAGGTTTAAAGACACCAAAGCTAGGAGAGGAGAAAATGAAGTTACGGATTTGTTTTCGACCTCAGCAGGGTTTGAGACCACAAAAAAATCTCCGTCATGGTATATCTTAAAGTGTTGGAAGATTCAGCGTATGAAGAAATTGCAGCCGTCATAAACGTACGACCGAAAAAAAGATTGGTCATAGCGAAAAGAACTAAATTTCCTGAAAGTAGACAAAGACCGGACGAAAATATTATGTACAGCGACTGAAAGAAACGTCGAGATATTGTGAATATTCAAAGTGTGGGTTCGGAACAAATGTATATCGAAGATGAGCTAATTGTGCTAAAACTGATTGAAAGATTGTTTGACATCTCGTTCAAGCGTAAAATTCTAGAGCAGCTTCAAGCTTACGATATGAATCTCGAGGCATGTGTGGAGTTCTTACAACAATTGGTATTGATTCAAAAATGTAATGCCTCCGAAGGCAGCATGGAGACTTATAGTGCTGCTAAAAGCTTACTTATATGCAAATATTGCAATAAGGAACATGAAAGAAGCTAAACTAAGTGTCCAAGCTTTGGAAAATGGTGTTTTAAGTGTAAAAAGAGGAATCATTTCCAAACGGTATACACACATGAAAAGCGAATGCAAAAAGTGGAAAATATAGATCCGCCGATTGAAAGTACGGAAGTATTTGAGATAAAAGTAAAGGACAAAAATAGGGAAATGGTAAATTTGAATGGAGTAACTTTACTTATGCAGGTGGATACTCGAAGTGATGTTACGTTGATACCGGGGAATTTTGGGGAATGAATAGGTAAACCAAAGTTAAAGAAAAGTAATATCCAGTTGAAACAGTTCGAAGGGTCTATCATCAACATTTTAAGATGCGTTGAAAACACGTTTGAGTCAAAAAGAGATTCCACATCATAGTGCTAAAAAACACGGTCTTTTAGAAACTGACGTGTTAACAGTGAATGCATCGAAGCTGGTAAATTCCATGAAGTCTGTAGAACTGGATATTGGATTATTAAATGGATATGAGGCGAGTATTCGGCTTAAGAAAAGCAGTTAACCCATGTATTTTCAAGACCGAAAAGTTCCTTTTCACTGCTACCATTGATGGTTGCTAAGCTGAACAAAATGGTGGAACAAGGAATATTAGAAAAAGTCAGCCAAGTGGTAACAATAGGGCTTCATCTATTGTAGTGATACGCAGGCCAAATGGAGATTTGAGAATTTGTGGCGATTATAAGGTGGGCGTGAATCACCAAACCTGTTCGGATTCATTTCCGTTGCCAAACATTGAAACAGCGTGCTGGTATAAAATACTTTCCTAAAGTTGACCTTAGGTCAGCATATAATCAGATAAAAATTGACAGCAAGTTTCAAGAAACCACCACAATGATCACCCCTATTTGATTCGTCTGCTGTTTGGAGTAAAAACGTCAAGTCACATTTTCCAAAAAGCCATCGAAAAAGTTTTAGAGGGGATTAAAAAATATAATTTTATATCATGGGTGCGCGCAGTAAAAAAGAAATCAAAAGTAAAACGGAGCAAGTTTTGAGAAAGTTAAATATCGCAGGTATGACAATTAATCTCGATAAATGCTAATTTAATTGTGAAAAGGTTTCGTACCTAGGATATCAAATATCCAAACGCGGTATATCGCCGGATGATAAACTCATTAATAAGATATCAGAGGTAGCTGCACCCAGAAAGAAAAAAGAGAATCTTTTTCAGGATTAACCAATTTCTGTAACATGTATCTACCGCAATAAAGTAACCTTTTGGAATCGTTTAACGAAATAAGGAAGAAGAATACCGAGTTTCAGTGGACAAAAAGACATGAGATTGCTTTTGAGAAATTAAAAAAGGCACTTATAAACAAACCAGTTGTTAAAATCTTCGACCCAGCGAAAGAATTGACGTTAATTACTGATGCTAGTGAATGTTCTATAACGGCAACATGTACTTATCTAGAAAACTAACAGCGACAGAGGCGAATTATTCGAATATTGAGAAGGAGGTATTGGCGATTGTGTAGAGCATGGAGAGAGCTAGAAATTTTTGCTGGGAAGGAAATTTCTATTAAAATCTGATCATAAGCCTTTGGAATTTATATTCACACCCAGAAGAGAGTTGCCAAAGGTCAAATCTGCCAGCATATTAAGATGGGTGATTAAGCTTATAGCGTTTGACTTTAACATAGTATATATAACAAAGGAAATACTATTCCGTATGTGGATGCATTATCTCGGTTATATTTTGAAAGCAAAAGATTTGAAGCGACAATTTTGCACTGGATAGAAACGGACATATTACCCTTAAATCGGCTTAGATTAAGAACTAAGCAGGATTAAGTGTCGAATAAAACTATGGATAGAATAAAAAGGAATAGATGGAGTAACCGCTCTATGGCTGAGAGGTCTTATGATGCAAATTGACAATAGAAAAAGGAATTAAATGTAATGGAGATATCATTGTAACTTCAGAGTTTCTGTGAAAAGAACTAATTAAAGCCGTGCACGATGATATACATGGAGGTATACTGGCAACGTAAACGAGGTTAAAGTTGCAAGTATGGTGACCAGGCTATTCGAGAGACGTGGAAGAGTATATTAAAAAATGTCCAAAGTGTGCAGAAATAAAGAAATTTAGGTAAGCTAAAATTCATTCTTGGTCAAAGGAAACGGAATCGTGGACACGACGAGTAAATATG